TGTGTAGCATCCTCTGATTCTATGAGAGCTAGTCTTCAGGGAGAAGGCTTCTAGATCAGTTCCTGCTCTATTGCTCCAAGTCCTTTCTCTGAAATATGTCCTGTCTTCAGCAATGGTGGCATCGAGCACAGGACACATATCCCTCTGGTTTTTCACACCACCTACACGTTATCTCTCCTCTCTTTCCCGCTGTACAACCCTCCCTCTTCCCTCTTCAGTTAAAGCACCTTCATTTCCCCTTGAAAACACTTGTCACCTACTGTCCCCCTCTCTTGGACTCCCTCTTCCTTTTTTATCCTCATGGTTCCTTTCCATTTTCCTGGTTCCTGTGGTTACTCCAGGATGTATACTCAAATCCAAGGATTTGGAGCTAAGTTCAACAAATGAGAGAACATACATTGATTGTTTTTTTGAGTCCGTGTTACTTCACTTAGTATAACAATTTCTAGTTCCATCCATTTACCTGCAAATTTCATTATTTTTTAAACCCACTGAGTAGTCTTCCATTGTGTAATGTATCACATTTTCATTATTCATTCATCAGTTGAAGGACATTTAGGTTGTTCTTAGCTACTGGAAAAGTGCAGCAACAAACATGCCTGTGTATGCACAAGTATCTCTGAAGTAGGATGAGTTCTTTGGATTTCTCAATGGGAGGGAACTTATGTGAAGTACTGTAAACATAGCAAACTACAAATGGCTGGAGAGGTCATACATCCTAGAGAAAATGTATGTCACATCTGTCACATCCTTAGAAAAATGTAATTTATTACTGTATGCTAAATATGTACCCTTATATTTACAGACGAGTGTATCTCTGACCATTCATCAAAGGAGTTTTTTTTTTTTTTTTTGCAACAGATGGAAATTATTGTAGAGTTCCACAACTGGTCACAGACACTAAGTGTCTATGAGATGCCCAACCCTAAGTGACATATCTACAGTGCAAATGCTACGCACAAAGGCTCAGGGAACATATTGAAACAGTGCAAAGAAAGACTGTAAGAATCAGGAGTGTTGGATGACCATAAGGAAATTGAGTTTTCCATGCAGCTGAGAACTTACTCAAATGAACTTATAAGTAGTGGTGTCAGCATGCACAAGACCAACGCAAATGCAAAGCAGATAATAAAAGTGGGGAAATGAGTAAAAAGCCCCAACCTTAGCTGTGGAACTATTGGCAGCTGATCACTGCTGGGTGAGGGACAGTTGATGTTCTTTAAGGGAGTGATGCTAGATAGGCTGACCAGGCTCCAGTGGATGAACTCACACTGAGGGATATTTGGGGACACAAACTTGACTCTATAGGCCTTAACATATGACACAATGCATAAAATCTGGTACGGGGGGTATGCGGAGGGCAGATAGGGAGGGGTTTTAAACATGTTTAAGGTATATTGTATGAAATGCACAAAAATTCAATAAAATAGTAATAAAAATAAATAAAGAGATTCTCTTTTATTTCTCACTCCTGGGATATAGAAAATGTGAGAAGGTGTTCTAGTTAGCTTTTTATTGCTATGATAAAGCTCTCTGACCAAAACCAACTTGGGGAGGAAAAGGTTCTTACACCTTTAAGTGATGGGCCATCTTTGAAGGAAGTCAGGCAGGAGCTCAGGGCAGGAACCTGGAGACAGGAACTGAAGCACAGACCAAAATGGAAATAGTGCTTACTGGCTTGCTCCTCTGGCCTGTAATCAGCTTGCTTATATAATCCAAAACACCTGCCTGGGGTGGCAGCAGCCACAATTGGCTGGGTCCTCTCACATTACTGGACACTCAAGAAAATGCCTCACACTACTGCAGAGTTGCACATCTGGTTAGGCATAGAGAGCATACACCTGGGAGATGCCCAGTACTAGGTGACACACCTTCAGTCAAATCTGTACAACCAAGACTCATGGAACATAGAAGAATAAGAGGTAGAGAGAGGGTTAATGCACCCCTCAACTCTCACCAGTGAGGCTTCCATGTACATCAGAGTGCGAAACACACAGAAGGCCTCAACTGGCCAAGTTTTGGAGAATAAGAGATTGTAGAGTGTAGGATGGGACTCCTATATGGAACCTTACCCACCCACAGCTCAGGAACCAGAGGAGGCAGAAAGACCAGGGCTGGTTCATGAACGTATGAGGTGGAGGCTTCCAGGCCAATGGAGGCTTGCTCAGGTGAGCCTGCAGCAGGTGGTGGCATTGAACTCGGGACCCATGTCAGCTTAATTAAACAAAGGCCCAAAGGGGAGGTGAGAAATAGGTGTCAGGTCAGTATTAGATAGAGAACTATTTGAGACTGGCTGCTGTTGGGTGAGGGAGAGTGTGACTTACATATGACCGCTGGATGGGCTGACTAGACTCCAGTAGACTCATTTACACTGAGGGACATTTGGGTACAAACACCTGAATGAATAGGACTCAGCATATATGGCAGAGTGCATAGGGTTTGGTGGTAGGGGTGGGGGGCATGGATAGGGGAAGGGCTCTGCATGTGAGTGGGAAATATTGCATGAAATTTTAAAAGCTCAATTTAAAAAAAGAAAATCCCTCACAGACATGCACATAGATGAGTCCTATAGAGGAAATCCCCCAATTGAGGTTCCCTTTTCCCAGGTATGGCAAGTTGACAACCAAAGTCAACCACGACAGAGGATGGCATTGTAGGGAACACTGAGAGAGAAGTGGTGATCATCATGAGGTAACAATGTACTGGCTTCTGATGTATCCAAATAACCCAGGACAAGACTGCAAAATTTGAAGAGCAAATGCATATATATCCCCATACCTGTTATTTTTGGTTTCTATGACTTTTGGCTGGATTGTTGACCACAGAAGTTCAAATACTATAGCTCACACTCACAGGCCAGTAACATTGATGTGTGTCTGCTCTCTGTGATTGTGCCCAGTCCATAATCTAGTTATGTGGTAAGCAGGATTTATCTTGTATGTTCATAGGTGAGAAGTCTGAATGAGTTACAGAAATAATGGAGTGCTAGCATCTATCTTAACTTGAGTGAGCCTAGACGATGCTGCACACAAAGCCACCATCTTTCCAGAAGCCACTTTGGAAGGGCATACATACCCTGATGAGGCTTCCAATATCTGCATCATAGAGAATGGAAAATGTTTTAGATTGAAAGATGTTACAATAGCTGTTACTGTGCCCTGCCACAGAAAGGTCCAGAAAGATGAGTGGGTGCCTCAGGGTTGAGCAGGAGCACCTCTGACAAAGTAGCCTGCCAGAAACACTTAATGCAAACATAACCTCGGGTACCACATTCATTTGCTTTCTGGATGGACTAAGGCTGCTCTGTTTGTGTTTCACTGAGACTCTTCCAGAGTCGAAGATTTTTATTTTGGTTTGATGTGTTTGTTTTTCTACAGTCACTTTCCCCATTGCTTGATAAAATGCCTGAAAGAAGCAGCTTCGAGAAGGAAGGATTACGTTGTTTCATGGGTTGGCGGATGCGGTCCATCATGGCAGGGGAGGTATGGAGATGGGCAGCGCCACGGGAGTGGGAGTGCAAGGCTTCTCACTCACGTCTTGGTTAATTGGGAAACATCAAGCCTAACCAGGACCAGGCTATAATCCAAAAGCCCTTTTCACAACTGCTCACTTCTTCCAGTGGGACTCCTAAACAGTACTCCAACTGTGAACCAAGTGTTTGGCAACGTAAGCCTATGGAGAACATTTCACACTCAAACTAAAACAACAGACTTGCTGTTCCTGAAAGTTAATTAGACTTCAGGATTCAGTTCAGATGGAATCATTTCTTTTTTACTGAAGTCTTCAGGATGAATGGCTCCTGGTTTTCTTGTTTGTCCTGGCATAACAGTCAACATCAAAGCTATTTCCTAGTCCACTAAGACAGCCAATTATTCCATAACAGAAAAAGAGTTGCATTTCCTTTTTTTTTTGTGGGAACATGAAGTCCTAGCCACCCTCAAAGGTGTGTGCACATTTACTAAGAGTTATGTAGGATAAACTCTCCTCTTGTGCATTTTTAGGGAAGAGAGAGATGCCATACAGATCCTGAGAAGCACTTAAGAGAACTAGAAATGCAAGTTCTTCTTTATCTTCATTTTATATTTTAATGATTCATTGAAGGTTATCCAATCTGCAGAGAAATGGGTGGGGGTCGAGATCAGTCATCTAAAGTCAGAAAAATTGACTTCCAGAGAAGCACCTCAGTGTGTTTTACCTATAAAATAGCAGGATATGTTACAATGCATGTTACATGAATTTATTATTAGGTTTCAAGATCAAATAAGCTAGGGTTATGAAAATAATTTATAACTCCTACAGGATGTACAGGTGTGCATATACCAATATGCATATACTTCCTGTATGGGGCTGGATGGGGACACTGGGGGCAGTTACGACCCTGTGTTCTCTTTGATTAAGGCACAGTCAGGCCACATTAATCTGAAGGTGGACATGAGTAGCCTTTTCCCCCAGTGAGTCTTGTGATGCTTCTCTCCTTAGAGCAGAAAGCATGGATGGAGAAAGTTAGTGTTTTGAGTCTCTGGCTATGGACCGTGTCCCCATGCTGTACAGTTCTCTAGGTGACAGGAAGAACATGATTGTCAGCCTCCATGGCTCATCTTTCCCACTGACAGCATGTGAGACTTTGAGAAGATTACCTCTAATCCTCATAGTTATGATCCAAGCTTTGCAGTTCCAACCTGCACTAGTGCCCAGGGACAGGAGACCTCTAGGGAGACCTGTATTCTCACACTAAAGAGGAGACTCCTACAGTGAGATCCTCTTATGGGGGCTCACTGGGTCCTAGCTACCATCATGGATCCTAGGCCAGGCTGAGTAGCTACTAAGGGGAGGACCGTGCCTGAGCTGCACCTGGATAGGCTGCCCTGCTGGTTATCCCACTTCACACAGACACATTTAGAACATTCTGCATTCTTTTGTTTCTCCATCACTGTGCACAAAGCCTTCCCCCCAGATGAGGGCATAGAAGTCTCTCTGGGGGTGTGATCTCCTTCAGTAGTCTACTGTTTCCTTTTGAAGGGGTTGTAGGGCTTCACGGTAGTGACCATTCGGGACATTGGGGCCTGGTGACGGAAGAGGTCAACTTGCATTTCTTGCAGCAAGATACTAGGATTGAAATGGAACAAGAAGAGAAAAATAACATAATTAAAATGAAAACAAGTAAATTCACCTTTTACCCAACTAATGATGTTCAGGAATGGAAGGTATAGAGGAAAAGGTGACAAAGGAGGGGGTCAAAAACAGTACAGAAGGAGGCTGGGAATGACCACCCCTGCTTCGTTTGCTGTGTCCTGTGCAGTGCTTTGCATTCTGTAAATGAACATCTGTGCAAGCTTTATCACAAGTGGTGAGAAAGATAAGCCTAGACCACTCCCAACAGTTGGTCCAGGAAGTCCTTGTTAGAAGACCCAGGAGATAGGTCCACCTCAGGGAAGGGCATCTTCATGGAGCCCAATTAGAGGAGACAGCAAAGGGAGGGGAATGGAGAAACCTTGGGATGACAGGCACTTGAGCCTAGGGAGAGGCTAGTAGGTGAGTGAAACAGAGGCAGGCTGGACAGCCACTAAAGTGATATTAGAGTATGGAGCCTGCATTTCCACCTCTGCCCTGGGTTGAAACTGCGTACATAGTTATAACCTCGCTGTGTCAAATCTGTTGTAAGAATTAAAGAAAAGAAAACTGAAAATATGAACTTCCATGAAGATGAAGTTTTACCCCTTGGGTTACCAACACAGGGAAGGCAGTGTCAGGGTTGGTGTGCATCATACCAACTATTATAAACAATACCCCAAAACTTTTGTTTCTATCCTTCTACTGCAAATGTGCTGTGAGGTCAGTCACATAATACAAAGAGGTGCTCATATGAAAGAGTTACAAAGCTAGTGTGGGAAGGTCACCCTTATGCAGTCCAAAATGGCTTTATATTTGGGCTATGGTTAACATGATGTCCTATTATAAACATATGTATATATTGCTTTTAAAGGCCCATGTTGAAGAAAATGACACAGCATCTGTGTAAGCAACATCCTACTGTGAGGGCCATACAAAGATCACCAGACTATAAAGAAAAAGTTGAAAGAAGTACTTGCTCTCCTGTTCCCTTACAAATGTGGAGATCCAGGACATGTTTTCTATCTACCTTGTGCATGTCTCCATCTCCTCTCTTTGCATCTCTTCTCATCATTTCTTCCTTGTCTATTCTGCATCCTGTCCCACATGGATCTTAAGGCACTTGGGCTTCTCTACACCGGGCTCAAAATGCAGACTCTTTTTGATGCACACTCAAAAGCCTACACAATTAAAGAAGTCAAACTGACCCTAGTCTTACCTACCACAAAGATTCTTGGCAAATGGGCAATCCCCACCTTCTGTGTGAGGAGGTGTCAACAGTCCCCTTTCCTGTCCCTGTATTAGTCCTCACTGCAGCCACAGCCCTTCACTTTACTGATGCTATCAGAAGCCAGATGGCAGAAGGCTAGGGACCAAGGTGTGGAGAAGTAGAAATAAGGTGCGAGGAGAGTGATTGTTCACTTCCTTAAGAAGTTTAGAAGTCCAAGGAAGGAGAGTAGGGTAGCTTAGAGGGGTACAGTTGAGGGACTGAACTAGGCTGTTCCTAAGAGAAGCTAGATGCTGAGACATTTGCAGAATGAAGAGGTTCCAGTTCAGAGGGAATGATGAGCCTTTTCACAAGTGAAGCATGTCTTCCTGGGAAGAAGAGAAAGAAGCAAGAATGGACTTAAGAGATTTGATTTGGGTTTGGGAGGGAGGAAGGCAGAGAAACGGGGGCCAGGAGGCAGACACTGAGTGGCCCAAATCTTTTGATGGGGCAAGGGGAAAAGACTTCTGAAAGACTGTGTAGCAATGAAAGCCTTGAATGTGGCCACCCCATGGTATAGACTCAAAAATGGAGGAACAGATTACAGAGGAGCAGAAAACACATAGTAGAGGAGAAAACTCAGGAGTTTCCAAAGAATGTGTGCTTAAAGAAAACAGGAAAATGTGAATCAGACCGATTAGACATAATCAGGAGGAAATCGGCTCACTAAGCTCTTATGAGAGCCAGCAGTCAGATATCTGGGCTCACACTTTTCACTTGAAAATTTTAGAGAAAAACTAAAATGGTGTTACAAAAATATCAGAGGCGACACTTGGTGGTGGAGAGCATTGGTTGCCCTATTTTCTGACCCCAGAGTCCAGGCTAATGCAGATGGCCAGCCTTTCTGCCAGGGCATCCCTATCTTCATGTCAGTACAGGGATGTCTTAAATTTAAACTCTCCCGGACCCTCTGGACTGTGATTTCTCAGGCCAGAGTGCCACACCTTTTGAGGGCTGTTGTAGGGGGTGACTGTAGTAGTTCAGTCTGGGCAGAGTGGAGCCAGCTCAAGCTGCCACTTAGTTGAGGGAAACACTTAGGTTGTCACTATTTCTAGTCTGATCTGCACCCTCAGATTAAGAGCCTCAGAAAAGGCACGTCAGAGAGTTCCATGTCCTCTTCTGGGACAGTAGATGACATTCATGTGTGTGTGTTGGGGGAAATTTTGGAAGTAGCCAGAAGCCTCAATCTGATATGAACATTCCTATGAGATACTCAGGTTTTTCCCTCATTGCAAAATGAGGGGATAGTTTTTCATGTAGAAGTAGAGATTTATCTGAAAGACAAAAGGATGCTTTTGGAACACTCTGCTTATGTAGTTGTAGGACTGTGTGGGAAGGTGTCCCAGCAACAGGATGTCTGAGTAAAACCTCAGATAGCAAGGATTGTGAACAAAAAGGTGAGGGATTGGAAATGCTTGCTTTGCTCTGATATAGGTATTTTTTTAAGTATTTTATTATTTTTTTATTTATGTGTATGGGTATATAGTCTACAGGTATGTGAGTACATGCTTGTTGTTCAGTGCTCCAGGAGTTCAGAAGAGGGTTTCAGATTCCCGGATTCCCCTGGAACTGTGGTTGTGGACAGTTGTTAGTTGCCACATGGGTGCTGGGCATCGAACCCAGGTCTTCAGCAACAGCAGCCATGCTCTTAACTGATAAGGAATCTCTCCAGGCCCCTGATACAAGTCTTTGAGTCTCTTAAATCATGAGCCATCCAGCCAGAAGGTTTTATCACCATTCTTTCTGTACAGGCATACTAGATGATAGCTCTCAGGGTTTGTTTAATGTTAGCATTGTTTCTTTATGTCCTTCCTCTGTAATAGATTTTTAATTTTCTAAGTATTTACTCATCCTGGCTTCAAAAATGGATTTGTAACATTTCAAATTGTGTCTTCACGTTGATTTTCAAATTTTTGATTATTTTCATTTTATGTGTATGAATGATTTGCCAGCATGTATGTAAGTGTACCATGTGCATGCAGTTCCCATGTAGGCAAGAAGAGGATGTCAGATCCTCTGAAACTGATATTATGGATGGTTGTGAGCCATCATGTGGGTGCTAGAAACTGAACCTGGGTCCTCTTCAAGAGAATCCAGTGCTCTTAATGTCTAAGCCACCTTTCCAGCCTGATTTTTAAAAACATATCATATCAAAAGCTCAGGCTACAGTTCAAAAACAAACAGATGAACATGTAGCAAATTAAATAGTATCTGCATGACAAAATAAACAAAAAAATGAGAAGGCAACCTATGGATTGGAAAAACTATATGCATACTATATGTCTTATAAGGTGTTAATACATATATATGTACAACTCCACCATAGAAATCTACAGTGGGGGCTGGAGAAGATGGCTCATTGATTAAGAGCGCTGAGTGCCCTTGAAGAGGACCTGTATTCAATTCCCAGCACCCACGTGACGCCTAACAACTATAACTCCATTTCCAGGGGATCAGATGCCCTCTTCCGACCTCCACATGCATTGCATGACACAGGTGCGCTTACATACATGAAGGCAATACACTCACACACAGAAAACAAAATATTAAAAAAGAAATCCACAGTGGGTAAAGGTTCTGCATACATGGTCTTTGAAGAAGACATAGCAATGGCCAACAGGTATATGAGCAATGCTCAAAGTCACTAATGATGACAGAAATACCAATAAAATCCTCAAAGAGCTATCATCACACACTCAGGAGGGCAGCTCCTATCAAAAGAGAAGGGACAAGGATTGGCTCAGATGTGGAGAGGGAACTCATTCACATTGCTGGAGAGAGGGTAGATGGTACAGTCATATATACAACAGTATGGGAGGCCCTAGAAATAGACGAAATGGAACTATTGCATGATCCAACGATCTCTTGTCAGGTACAGAATGTGGCAAAGGAGAAGAGAACAGCCTCAAAAAAGACAGCTGCATGGTGGTGGGGGAGGGCACTGCTATTCACAGCAGTCAAGATACAGAATAGACCTGGGTGCCTGCAGATGGATGAATGACTAATCATAGTTATATATGTTAAAATCCTGCTGGATCATTCTTCAGCCTTGTAAAAGAGGCTGAATAATGTAAAAAGAGATCCTGACATTTGCTACAACATGGATAAACCTAGAGGACAGTATGCTAAGTAAATAATCTAGACATAGAAAGAAGAATACTTCATGTTCTTATTTGATACGAAACCTTTTTTAGAAACCAAATTTATAAAGGCAGAGAGTAGTGGTTAGAAAGGATGGATTGTTGGGGGGAGGAAATGAAGAGATATAGGTCAAAAAGTAAACCATAACAGTATGCAGGATGAACAGGTCTAGAGACCTGACATGCAACAGGAGGACTACAAGTAGTGGCAGTGTACTGGATTCAGAATTTTTGATTCATGAGTAGATTTCAGCTGATCTTGCCATTGACAATGGATAACTGAGAGATGATGGATATGTTCATTTGTTTCACTATTATAACCATTTTATTATCTATATATGTATAGATATGTTTTAGTAAACGTCATATTCCTCTGGATATACACAATGAAATATTTTGAATTTTATATATATGTGTATATATATTGAGATTGTGGACTGGAGAGATGGAGCAACAGTTAAAAGCACTGACTAGTCTTACAGAGGACCCAGGTTCAGTTGCCAGCACCCACATATTGGCTAACAGTCCTAACTCCCATTCCAGGGGTTCAGATGCTCTCTTCTGACCTTCACTGGCATTGTACAACATGGGTGAACTTACATCCATGCAGACCATACACTCATACACACAAATAAAAATAATAAACACAACATTTTAAAAATATTGATTAGAAAAATATCTTAAGAGTAAATTAAATAGAATTCCAGCTATTGAAAGCCCCTGACCTCCTACTGAATTGTTTAACATCAGATGGCTGGGGATTTAACATGGCTGTTTAACCAGAAATTTAGACATACTGAGGAAGCTTGCTGCAAGGCAGCACTTTTCATCTTCTTTAACCTTGCCCTTACAGAAGGCTATGCACAGGTCTTGTGGGCTGTGTAGTATTGTCAGTGCAGCAGTGTGTAGTATTGTCAGTGCAGCAGTGTGTAGTATTGTCAGTGCAGCACTGTGTGGTATTGTCAGTGCAGCACTATGTGTGGCACACAGGCTCGAGGTAGCCCTTGCCTCTTCCTCAGGTTCCTTTCCTATCCTATGAGTGACTGCTGCTGCCTGACCCTCAAATATCTGAAGAGCAAGTTCCTTCCCTCCAGAGTCACCCCATGAACCAGGTCCACCATGAGTTCTTTAACACCCCAGAAGTCCTTATAGCTTGTATATGCCTGTTTCCTATGTATAAAGTATGGATGGATGGTAACAGCCCCTTCCTCATTCTGTCCCCAGACTGTCCCTCAGGCTGTCGAGCAATTATTACTAGAATGGTGCTTACTGTCCTTTCCTGGAGTTGTTTCTCTCTTGCTCAGTTTCTTGCTCACTTTTTGTAAACAGGTTTTGTTCCTATGAATTACTGGAGTGCAATCAACATTCATTCACATAACCAAATAAAATATGAATTAAAACAAAAATGAATGAGTGAATAACAAAATGAAGAATGGGTGACTTTGGTCATGGAAGCTTTTACCATTTAATAGACACTGCTTTCCAGAAAATTTCAGTCCCTGGAAGCTGGGGTTCTACCTAATGGTAAAGTCCTTGCTTCAGTTCTCCCCTAGCCACAGAGTGCAGGCTCCAGGCTCCAGCACTCTCTGTGACATCGGCTGACATTAGTAATCCCAAATTGTTATTTTCATACTTCTTTAGTGTCAATCTCCTACCCTCGAATATGAGCACCTGAGGGCCAGGCTGTCTTCTGCCTGTCCTTGTGCATTCGGTGCCTTGAACAGCCTGGCCCAGGTAGATGCTAGATAAATGTGATTAACGAAAAGATGCCCTACTGAAAGAATGTGATCTAGGAGAAAAAGGTACCTTTGCGGAGAGCCCCCCTCCCAGCATAACTTATTCATTTAAAAATATTTTCTTTATTATTTTCATTTTATGTGTACAAGTGTATTGCCTGCATGTAAGTGAGTGCACCTGTGTTGTACAATGCTGCGGAGGTTAGAAGAGGGCTTTGGATTCCCCTGGAATTGGAGTTAAGGATGGTTCATAGTTGCCATGTGGGTGCTGGGAATCAAACTCTGGTCTTCTGCAAGAACAGTCAGTGCTCTTAACCGCTGAGCCATCTCTCCAGCTTATTCATTTATAAAACCAGGCTTAGACTCAGCATCTGCATTTTCAGAACTGTGTAGTCTTTATTTTTCAAGGCCAGGACTTCCACCAAGTGTTTTCCAGTTTGAATTATAATGAGAATAGCATGCTGCTTCTTACTAGTGATTGTCAATAAAGTCATCTCCTAGTCTTTCCACCCACTGCCTTTTGTTTCATTTTGCAAAAATGAGGATTAAGATCTGTGTGAATTTCAACAGAATTTTGTCATTATAAAAAGTTAGTACTTCTTCACAAGAAGTACATGTGTGTCTCATGTCAGTACGTTACAGACATACAGACACTAGGTAGCACGTAGTTTTGCCAATACATGAATAAGAACGTGTGTGCAAAACCGCAGGCTCAGAGGCCAAGATGCTTTCCCCCAACATGCTCTGAGTGTCTTAAGATGGCACTTCAGGCAATGTCAACAGGAACATTAACCTGCGCTTATTTTTCAATGTAATTCTAAGTGAAGTTCGCCTCAGCAAGAAAATTAACTCCTTTATTTTTTGGACTTGACATCCCATTTTTCTTAAGCAACACAAATTTATTCTTAGTATTTAATTGTTCTTTAATGGAATAACCATAATTAGCATTTCTCGTTCTAATGTATGTGAGCAAACTGAGTAATAGGGCTCCTGCTTACCGGTTCAGCTCTGAATCTGACGATGGGGTTGTTGATGGAATATTAGAATTTGCTGGGTGGGTGGCTGTGAAATGAACCTTGCCAGTGTATCCTGGAATATTTGCAGCCCTAAAGTGAAGAGTTAGAAGAAGGGGTATGAGAGTAAATTAAAATAATAATTATTTGTGAAATAGTCACAGTAACTAGAACCAAATATGAAAAACAAAGATGAAGGTACAGTTTAAGCTTTTTAGGTATCTGGTTAGGAACTTGGGCTATCCAAACAGAAAAGAATGGAGGGAAGAGACACAGGCATGCGGGCACGTTGACATTTAGGTAACCTCTCTACTCTAGTGCTGAAACACTTATTTCAAGTGTGTCTTTGCTATTATTTCAAATTTTTCATGTCCATGACTTACTGCTGGGCCCAGTGTCATAGTGAAGGGAGTCAGAACTGTGCCACAGCAGACTTGTGCCACGTGCAACGTTGTACTGCTGACACTAACATCAATAAAGACACGTGCTTGTGTTTGCAGGCTTGTTATTTTGGCCAAATGTCTTTCTTGTCACCACTAATACTTCATATCCTTGATTTTAGATGGTTTTCTGAAATTGCCCATCAAAAACACATTTAAATTCACGTAGCAGCTCCACACTGACTTGTTTGGTTTATACCACCAACAGCTCTACTTTCCCATCCTTTCTCTGTGCAGAAAAGAACAAAAGAGCACCAGGGAAGGTTCTGTAGTGTGTACAGAAAGGCCCCTTCCAGCAGGGCAGCCAACCATCTAGACCCATTTAACTGCTGTTCAGGAACACACGAAGGATCACTCATGTGTTTGCCAGGGTAACATTCAAAATGGTTTACCCAGACTATTTCCTAGGAGTAGGGAGAGGCTGGAACACAAGGCCCTGCATAAGGCTCAGACTTGGGGGCCACTTATAACACATCACCTTAACTACAAGGAGCATAAGAAAAGGGAAGTAAGATTTAATTGTACAGCAGGGAGCACAGGCAGACTCTGCAGGTCATAAAGCCGAAGGCTGTAACCCGGCACCCTGGTGGAGCTGCATCAGCGCCGTGGCCCCGGCCTGCTTGCTGCCTCATAGCAGACGGAACTACTGCCATCATAAACACGCCTGACTTTGTAACTTCTCCTCAGCTTGGTGGTTTGTGCTTCCTTTTCCTGAGGACTTTCTCTGAGAGCATGGCACCCGCATTGTGGGTTTCTTATTCAGAATTTACATTCAGACCAAAAGCAAGGCAGCAGCAACAGTCTACTACCTGCTGAAGGTGGAAGACTGCCTTTTTTTTTTTTTTTTGTGGATGTCTTGCCTACATCAGTGTCCTTCCATTACATATCCGATGTATCAAATAAAACCTCCAAAAACCATTTATCCTTAGAGCAGTTCTGCAAAGTGGTGCTTAAGAAAGGTTGATCCTTGTCATGGACCATATCTTAAATGTCTTCCAAATGTCTATATATTGACAGATTGGTTGCCAGCCTGGGGTGCCATCAGAAGATGGTGCAGAAGATTGGGAAATGGGGTCGTCAGAGAGGTAGGGAGCTAGGTCACTAGGAAAGTACCCTTGAGGAGGCTCCTAGGACTCTAACCTCTTTCTCTCTTTCAGCATCCTGGTTGCCATGTGAACCAACTTCTCAACCATTTGCTTTTGCATGATATACTGTACCACCACAGACCCAAAGTGACAGGGACTTCAAGGGACCATGGATTGAAACCTCTGGTACTGTGAACTAAAAGTAAATTGATGTCTTATCTCAGGCATTTTTTTTTTTTTTTTTTTTGGTTTTTTTGAGACAGGGTCTCCCTGTAGGTCCAGCTGGCCTGGAACTCACTATGTAGACCAGGCTGGCCTTGAACTCACAGAGATCCGCCTGCCTCTGCCTCCCGAGTGCTGGGTCAGGCATTTATTTACAGCAATAGAAAGCTGACTAATAATATATTTCTTCAAATGCCAGGTGACAGGAAGACAAAGGAATCATTAGTGAGATGAGTCTGTGCTCTAGTGGTAAGGTGAAGATATAGGCCATGTGATTCCTGTTATCAATGGTGGGATCTGAACTCTGGATACAATCTTGTGGCACATTATTGCTTCAGCCTTGACATCAGGTGGTGACACAACTTAACAGATTGGGTGACAATGAAGTCAAAACAGGTCACAATTCATACTGTAATTTCTTGGTGCTCATTATACATTGATTATGTGTTAGTATCAGAATGTTAGGGAAAAAATAGGTAGTTAGGAAGGAAAACTGCCTAGAGAAAGCTTACATGTGTCTTCCAGTATGCCATCCTATGGTCATTGCTGATAGCTTACTGGCTTGAAGCCAACAAAATCAGGGATGTTGCTATACTAACAAAGTGAAGGGAAATCATGTCAAGAGCAACAACCCAGAATAAATGGTCCAAATTAGTGAATTTTGTGAGGCCGGGAAAATGAGAGGCTAAAGACAAGGCCCTGCATTGAGAGACTGTATTCTGCAAGCCTGTCTGCCCCTCACCAGCTCTGAAGTGCTACTCCCACTGGAAAGTCCTCTGGACCCCAGCTCAGCCAAATGCAACGCAGAGATAACCACAGTAACCTCCTAGGGGCACCCTGGGGTTAGATGAGTTAAATGAATAAAACAGCCAGCACATCCTTAGCATTTAATAGGTATTCAACTAATTTTACCTGAAATATGAGACATTAAAAATTAAATATTTACAAAAAATGATCTTGTAGGTGGAGAATACAAAACTTATAAAGAAAACACAGCTGCAAAATTCAAAACCAGAGATTTCCAGATGGTGCCACACGCTGAAATCTCGTTGGTTGTTTAAAAGATAGTAGTGTTTGGCACCAACCTCCGATATTCTGATTAAATCAGGAATGGTGTGGCTTGGGAATCAGCTTTCAATAGTTCTTCAGTGGTTCTAGGTTGGGGTGAAGATCACGAACCTACTTTAGGATCAAGTTTGTTGGTGAGGCCAGGGCGAGTGAAGGAAAACTGCTGAATTCCGGGCAGTGTCCCTTGGGATTTCATGGGATTTTTCTTGCAGTGTAGCCGTAAGGTAGAGAGGTATCAAAAATGAGGCAAAATTACTGATGTGTGCGGTCTCTTCCCCACAAACATTCTTTGAAGCTTCCATGCATGTTACCAAGGAAATCCCCTCCATCTGTGTGACAGGTTTTTTCCACTGCCTCTAAAACACCTGCAAAGTTAAAATGCTTCTAAAGTCAGAGCCTCCCACTTCAGCAGCTAGGAAGTCAGACAGATGGGCACAAGCAATTTGTCAGTCATGAGGAGGGCTTCATTTAAGACCTCACACAGCTCTGCATGCCTCTGTTATGGGAACTACTGAACATAACTGGCAGCTATGTTATGTTTTAGGAAGGTTGTTCTATGCTATGACATTGTGTGTAATAATAATACATAATGAAAAAGTATGACTAGTTAGTTGGTTAGGTCAAGGATGAATTCGGTTGCGGCATGGAGCACCAAACATTTCAAAATGAAGTTTTCATCCCATCCACAGTGCCTCTAAATCTATTCCCTTAACCCTGACTTATAGGATGTCACAAGGGGACATTTTTGCCCTCTTAAGTGCAACATTATATCAAGCTGGGACACTCAAGCTGCTGCTGGAAGGGAATTCTTCAGTTGAAGGAAACAAAACTGTAGAAGATACTGACATATACAGGCAATACTGTCGATTTCCACATGTGCTGCCTGTGCAAAGAACCCTAGCTCTCCGTGTGATGTCAGTGGAGAATCAGCAGCCCACGTACGATGCCAGCGCCTTCATCTGCATCTTCCATGGCTTCTTGGCCTTGGTCACCCTCTTTTGCACTCCCATTCCCTCATGAGCCTGGGTTTTGTTTCACTAATGAATTGCTTTTACTATTTAGGTAGCTAAGTTGAAAACTGATTGGTCTGTCCTAACAGAGCATGATAAAATAAAATTTAAATGATTTCAGAAAATAAATGAGATAAAAGGAACATAGATGCTATGTAATTAAATATTAAGTGAAAATAAGGGTTAATATTATTAAAAGCTAAATAGAAAATGTGGAAACTATGCTATATATATCACAAGAAGTCATGTTGCATGTACAATATATGTATTGCCTATGCGGTTAAAAATTTAGGCATACACACAAGTTCTTTTGATGTGCTATAGACCTAATAGTGAGTGTACACCGTGTTCCCTTTTAATGGATTCATATAAGTTGGGTGCTTTTCTCAATAATCCTGTGTCGTAGGTCTTGTCATGTCGATGTATTATATGAAAGAATGTAGGCAAAGCCAACCAAACTGTAAATAGTAGAACCAGCCTCTACCCTAGATAGTCTGAGCTTCAGAACTCATGCAAGTGGACTGCTTATGAAAAGCCCTGACCGGTTCCCAGTCCAGCCTGAAGATTGTTGCCAGGTCGAAGTGGACTGCATTGTTCAGGGTGTGGGTATGGGTGTAATGGCAAAGTTTAAGTCTGTGTGATGACCTCTTACTCAGGACTATTTTCTGTCGGGAACAGTTCCAGGCAGAAATCAAGCAGTTTTCACTTTCATAAGTAATGTGTATGTTATGCTACAGTGCAGGGACCAAACTCAGACCTCATGAACACTAGGAAGTGCTCTGTTGCTGAGTTATATATCTAGCCCCCATGAGTACATTTCAAAAAATAAGAATCTAAAGATTTAAAGAACCCAAGCAGTTAAAGACCATGATGGCAAAGTAAGATGGCAATTAATGAAATATTTAACTCTAGGGCCACCCTGGCCAGCTGGTCCCAACAGATTTTTCAGGAGTTTTAAGTTGCTTACTATTAACACCATCCAGTAACTACAGTTCCCCTGTGTCTCATTCACTCTTCACTCCCATTAGGAGAAAGAGGAATGATAGGCCCAAAGCTTTTCTTCTAGGCAAGGACAAAGCCTCAAGAGTCAGCCCCTTGCCAGAGGCTGGGCTTGTTGGCTGTGGGCTCAGTGCAGTCATTTGTCCTGGGAATCAGGAGGCTCATTCTCTGGACTTCTCACTGCTCATGAAATGAGAAATTTGGGGTTCTTCATGAAATTTCTCTGGCCTCAACACCCTTCTATACAGAGGGCAGATATAACTGGTTCC